ATCAGTCTTCTTCTCTTTTGTCAGCCTTCCACCTTTCTGAGCATGATGTCCCTCTCCAGTGAACAGCCTCTCCTAGCAACAAACCCAATGAATGTGAGACACAGCTTTATAATCTTTGCCTTCAGGGAGCACTCTGGCTTCACTTTCTCCAAGACATATTTGTTCTCTTGGCAGTCCATGGGATATTCAGTACTCTTGTCCAATAGTACAGCTCAAAGGCATCAATTCTTCTTCTGTCATCCTTATTCATTGCCCAGCCTTCAGATGCATTGCAAATGACTGAGAAGACTGTGGCCTGAATCAAATGCAAATCAGTCCTCAAAGTGACACCATTGCTCCTAAGTTATTTGGAGAGATCTCTGACTTCAGACTTTCCCAGTGCAATACATCTCCTAATCTCCTGACTGCTGGTACCAAGGCTGTTGATTGTGGATCTAAGTAAAATGAAATAGTTGACAATTTCAATCTTTTTTTTTTTTTATCAATCATGATGTTACCTATCTGTCCAGTGATTAGGATTTTGGTTTTCTTGATGTTGAGATACAATCCATATTGAAGGCTGCATTGTTTGATCTTCTATAGCAAGTGCTTCAAGTCCTCCTCAATTTCAGCAAGCAAGGTTGTCATCTGCTTAACACAGTTACTGATGAGTCTTCCTCCACTCCTGATGTCACATTCTTCTTCATGGAGTCCAGCTTCTTGAGAAATTTGCTCAGCATACAGATTGAATAGCATGGAGGGAGGGTACAACCCTGATGCACACCTTTCTTAATTTTAAACCATGTGTTTTAAATCATGCTCCATCTTCATAAGAGCCACTTGGTCTAGGTCTAGGTTTTGTATGAGCAAGCATAAGTGTTCTTGGAGTCCCATCCTTGTATATATGTACAGATAATATTTTTCAACAATAGTGCTTTAGCAGCTAGGGCTTCTTATGTAAGGCAGCTGTGACCCAGAAAGTGGTCTTTTGACTATTAATGACTTTGGCCCCTTATTTAGAGCATCTTTGACCTAGAAGTCAGGCCTTTCTCATTAATAGTCCTTCGGGCCTGAGGGCTGCAGGCTTGTGCACCAGCATAAAAAAATTCAGCAGAGACTTCCATGTGACTCTAATATTCACACCTGGGATGTTACCTCAACATGCCAGCCATGAGTCTAAGCTGGAACATCTCAGCACTCTCCTAAGAGCACATCTACCATATCTGTGCAGCCTTCAACTGGATCTACTAACATGATAGTCATATGCCTGATTTGCTATTAGACATACAATGCTAATTTGTCACTTTGTTGTATTGGGGAAATTCATTGTTCCATTTAGTACAGCACTTGTCTGTCAGTTTGCTGCACTGGGTAACTTGTGACTTGTTGTCATGCTAAAATGCCACAGAGCTCCCAGATTAATACAGATTAGGAAGCAGGATTGTTCATTCATGTTTTAAATAGCATGCTTGTGAGAATCCTATGAGCAGTAGAGGAATACAGTTATAGTGCTGGAGGTAGAGCCCAGATTGGAAGTTAAAAAAAAATGAGGGAGAAATAGTGGCAATCATCTTTCAAGAATTGGAACATGGGATGTAAAAAGCATGAATATTGGGAAACTAGAAGTCATGGAAATGAAATGGAATGCATGAACATCAACATTTTAGGCATTAGTGAGATGAAATGGACCAGCTTTGGACACTTTGAATCACGTGGCAAACTATGCTGGGAATAAAAAATATGGTACTGCATTCTTCAAAAAGTTAATCTCACATTCTCTCCTAAAGTGCAATGTTGTGAGTGATAGGATATTATCTGTGCCCATACTGCCCCTCATGGAAGGCTTTATTTTGTTAAGATGTCTGAAAAAATGTAACCAACAAGTGCTTTAGGATCCGATTACAATGTTCTGTCTTTTAAACAAACATTTAAGAAAGTTTTATTTTATCTGTCTGAGATAGACCATTTAAGCATTTGATTGTGAAATGTGGTATGCCTGAAGATATTGTTAAAACACATTTTGTTGCTTAAGTTGAGATTTTCCAATTGTAAATGAGGCAAATGGAAACATTTTTCATATAAACAAGATAGGATTCCTTAGTGGGTTTGTTTTTGGGTTGGTTTTTTTTAAGTAATGTTTCTTTTCTTGGATAGGCCTAGAAAATGGTCCGCCATAGGTGGTCAGGCCTAGGCTCTTCAACTTCCTCTGAGGAGTTTTACTTTCATGAGACATATTATGTCCCCAGTGGCAGCAATAGGGATGGTCATATATGCCAGTCCTCTTGTTGCCACTGGGACTTTCTTAAGCTCCATATGCTCATCATAAAGAATTAAGAGCTAAAAATACTCTATGAGACTGTGGTTTGACTCAAGAGCCCCTGTAACCAAACATGATTCCTTTGAACCAGTGTGATGCCACTGCCAAAGAACATTTGATTTTCATTTATTCTCTTGTTGTGTGTTTGTGGTCCCAAGTTATAACCACTCCTGCATTGTCTTTCCAAGTAATCCTTAAAAGCATGTTACACAGATAAGCTAGTTATTGAAATTTTGAGTTTATAGTCCAGAAAAGGTTTTGTGACCTTTGTCTCATTCTGTCCCCACTCCCCTCTACAAAAATCAGGAAAAGGGGTAAATAGTCTTTATTAAATTTTTTATTAAAAAGACTAAAACTGTCTTTTTAAAGAAAATAACTGTCAAGTTATTTTCTTATAAATATGGAAACTGGCATTGATTAAGGTCAAGACTGCTTTGCCATCCTCAAATCGTATTATTATTAAAAATAAAGTCATTAAGAGAACACTTTGTAATATTAGTCTTTACAAGAATTAAAATATAAAGCAACTCTCTTTTGTAAAGTCTACCATTGGAGGAGGGGAGTTCTTGACCTAAATTTGGATATCCTTCTAGCCCATTGCTATCTTGTGCAGCTTTTGCTCAAATGTGACACTGAGGAAATAAGTGGGTCTCTATCAGAGCTCTACCACCTTTCCTGAGGGAAAACTGAGTGCACATCCCACTGATAGGTGTTGTCAGCCATGACATATTCGTGTAAAAATATCTTTACACTTTTACACACAAATAGAGTTTGCCATTGTTTTGCAGAATTGGATTCCTGTCCATTTAAGTGGTGTTTCTTTACAGTTAGAACCAAGAAGTTCTATGGAGCTTTGCTAAAAATGGCAGTGGAACATGGATAGGGACTTTCTCCTTACTTTGGATCCATTGACATCTCCCTTGTGCTGTTTTCCCTGTTTTAGATTGAAGAAGATTTATGGAAAAGCACTTATTTTAATAGCAGAAGTAATACAAAGGGAAGTACATGGTCACTTTAAAGGTTGAACATAAAGTTGCCTCATGTTTTTGTTCTTCCAAGCAGCAACCCAACACGGGACATACTGCATTACTAGTGCTTCTTACATTTTTCGGGTCTTAGCTTTAAAATTCTTTGATTTGTTAGGGATTAATGCTGAAAAGCTATATAAGAGTCTCTGACTGGGCAGTTTGTAAATAATAGACTCTCAATACTTTTGGGGGAAAATGATATACGTTTGAATTCCATTTGTTAGACACTCCTATATGTTGCTGATGGAAGTGCAAAATTAATTTAACCTCTTTCCAAAGTTGCTTCTATTTAAAATATATTTTCTTTTTTTAAATTTTTTTTTAAATTTTTATTATTTTTTTTGTGAGTGTACCGTCAAATCAGGTCTGACTGGTACAGGAGGAGATTGTCCCTCCTTCCCCGGTAGAGCATCTGGTGGATTTGAACCATGCACCTCTGGGATTGTAGTTGCAGCGCCTTGCCACTAAGCCACCAGAGCTCCCCTTAAAATATATTTTCTATAAGCTAAAGAGTTGTATCCTTTGTCTGTACCTATTCAATCTGTCTGCTAAGCAAATTACTTGAGAAGCTGGACTCCGTGAAGAAGAATGTAACTTCAAGAGCAGAAGACTCAGGTTATAGACTTCTCCAAACTGTTGAGAAACAATGATGTCAGTTTGAGGGTCAAGGTACATCTTATTCAGGCCATGGTCTTTTTAATCACTTGCTGTGCATTTGAGAGCTGGGCAGTGAATAAGGATGACAGAAGACGAGTTGATGCCTTTGAGCTGTGGTATTGGACAAGAGTACTGAATATCCCATGGATTGCCAAAAAAACAAACAATTATGTCTTGGAGAAGTGTAGCCAGACTGCTCCGTGGAGGCAAAAATGATAAGCTTCATCTCACATACTTTGGGTATGTTGCTGGGAGCGGCTGTTCATTGAAGAGGGATATGATGTTCAGAAAGGTAGAGGGTCAGAGAAAGAGAGGGAGATCCTTAGCCAGATGTATCCAGAGTGACTGTAGCATTAGGCTCGATGTGTCAGAGATTGTGAGGATGGCACAGCGTAGGACGGGTTTCAGATCTGTGGTTCATAGGGTAACTAGGACTTGTACTTAGCTCAATGACACCTACCAGCAAAAACAACATAAGTTAATGAATTTGTGTGTGTGTGTGTGTGTGTGTGTGTACCATCAAATTGGATCTGACTGGTACAGGGGGAGATTGTTCCTCCTCCAGCAGAACATCTGGTGGATTTGAACTGCATGCCTCTGGGATTACAGTGCAGCTTTTTGCCACTAGGCCACCAGAGCTCACTTAAGTTAATGAATTTTTATGAGTCTCAAATTTGCCTTACTTGGTATAATGATATTGCCAAGTCAGCTCAAAGATTTACCTATTTATACTTGAATTTCCTGAGCATCCCGTTGGTGATATGAGAAAATACGTGCTCTCCGAGGCTCGTAGGGGATGTGGAAGACAGTTTTCTTACTTGGGGTCTTGTTGCCAACATACATCCCTGATGGGTGGGTCTAGGAATAGGACTGGTAAGACGACTTTATGAAGGGAAAGTTGTTTTATGAGCTTGTGGTCAATGTGTGAGGATTTCCTAGAAATTCTTCTTCCTCTGGCTTTTGAAGCAATAATGTCAATAGTCTAGTCTTCATTACTAAGATCCTACTTTTCTTTATAGGATCAAAATGTTTAACTTTGTTAGTAGAAATCCATCCTGTTAACAATGTGAAGGTTCTGAAAGCAGTGGATAGCTGTATTTGGGTCCAGGTAAGTGAGTCCATATGACATTTATCACCTATCTCTCTAATCCTGAGACCTGAAGGTAAGGGTGTTTACAGAGTGCTTTCACACACATTATCACTTTTAACCCTTGAAACAGATGGGCAGGGCTGGAAGTGTCTCAGCTCTTGTTTGCAAATATGGGAAACAAGAGCTTAAATCTGACTCTGACAGCAGTGTAGAGCATTTACATGATAGAATATTGAATATTAAAATGCATTTGAGTCCAGAATGCTTATTAGTGTACATGTGTGGCTGACACATAAAACTATGCAATGAAATAATTTATCTCTGAATTTGTCAAGTCCATGAATTGATGCAGAGCACTGTGTGAATAACATGGATGAACTAGGTAGTGTGTGTGTCCATAAGCATAATCTCCCTGTGTCCAATTTCAAATATTACCAAAGCATCATTTCTCTTGGTCTACCTGGAGTCAATTTGCATAACCCAGAGAGAGAATTGGCTTCCTGTTCAGACTGCCAATCCCCAGCGTCAAGTCAACAATCTGCTTTGGAGTTGTTAACTAGGCTTGCCTCTCACTTAACCTGAGACCTCCAGCATCAGTCATTTTTATGTCACCAGCACTACCCACTACCCCTGTTCCACTCTGAGCATCACTCTCTTCCTCACCAGCCTGACCTGGAGCTCCCCGTTTGTGTGCTGCCTCCTCCGGGAAGCCCTTCTGTCTACACCAGCGTGGATGCAGGAGCAGAGTGGACTTCCTTTGTCTATTCTTTTGGCAGTTCAGAATATTTTGCAAGATGTAGGATAGGTTATAAAATAATCAAATGTTGGATTGTACTATATAATATTTTTATTTAGTTGTGCATGCTTAAAATCACACAGTAACATATTATGGAAAATGGATTTTTTTTTTTCGTGTAGGTGATCAAGACCTTATTGGAGAATTGGGGCAACTCAAGAGAATTAAAGCAGAGGAAGGGAAATTTTTTTTTCTCTTTCCAAAATATGTGATACATGACTGCATCCAAAAGCCCAGGGAAAAATTTCCAAATAGAGTGAAACACATAGTCTTCCTATGGACTTCTCTCAGTGCCTGCACCTGCTTCCAGCTCCTCATGTCTGTGCCTTTGAAGAAAGACATTCCTTCCCCAAATTTCCATTCATGGCACATGTCCATCATCCCTCCCCATCTCCCATGAGGAAATGTCACTCACTGTTCACTGGGTTTACTCTTACTCCGGGATCTGTCTTCTTTTTCTCACCAAGTACCTATAAATTCCATCTTCACCAAAGGACTTCCATGCATTGCTGGGTGGGTTTTGGATTCCAACTCTGGTGACTTTTGAGGTCCTTTCCCAGAGTTCCATTTTGCCACATGGGGTCTCTCTGACTCAAAATAGACTCATCAGTACCTAGTAAAATAACAACTCCAGCATGAAATGATCTTTAGATGATAGTTCTAGTTGGTATTTATAGACACCCACCCCAAACTCCCTCCTGTACACTTACATTTATACCCTTAAAAGGACCAGACCTTGGAAAAAAGACATCATACTAGGAAAGGTGGGGTGTCAGAGAAAGAGGAGAAGACCCTCAACAAGATGAATTGACACAGTGATTTTAACAACAGGCTTGAGCATATCTGAGATCTTTAGGATGACACAGGCTAGGGCAAGACTCAGATGTATTGTTCATAGGGTTGCTATGAATTATAGTTGTCTTGACACAACAACAACAAAGATAAATATTCTCGGAGTCTAATTCCATATTTGTGGGGGGAAATCCCAAGTGCAGCATAGTGTGTATAAATCCCTACTCACGACTATGCACCTTTCTGCTCATGTAAAAAGCTATGTTATGTAAAAAACCTGTCATCATTGTCTGACTTCCAGAACTTGCCTCAGGGCTGTCTCAAAACAAACAATGCCTGACTGGAACTGTTTCAGAGCAGTATTTTCATTAACTGTCACATAAAAACAAGGCAAAAGTTTCAGTTACAGATCTTCAGTCCCTTGGTCTAGGTCGCATTTCTAAGCAGACGCCCAGGTTGCCTCTGCTGTTCTGGGGGAGATCATGTTGTCACCTGCGGGGGGTATTCCTTTATTTCAAGGCTGTGAGGACTTTCTTTCCATTGTTTATGTGGTGTCACTAACCTTTGCTTCCCCTCAACTTTGGCACATAAAAGATTCAGTTTCAAGGGCACAATTTCACATTTCATGTGTACACATGGAATACGTTCTACAGGATTTAATTACTACCTAATAATTTTAAGTCTATATTCTGCATTGCTATCTATAATTTTGAGACTTACTATTAAGAACATGTAGACAGTGTTTTCTTTTTCACTTCTAAAAGGGAGATGCTACACTATATTTGATCTTAGAAAAATGCATCAATTCTGTTTTCAATGTATTATAATGGGAAGTTAAGTAATGTTATTTTATTAAGGTTCCTCCTCCCCAATCTTAGGTGAAACTGCTAACATGGCTGAACAGTTTTGAGGATAAAAGAGTGAAGTCACAGTATTTGTACTAATGCATGTGACACTTGCTTTCCCTTAGTACCACAGCTGGCAGGGTTAGGGCTGGTTTTAAAAGTCTGAGACCTCCTTGTGTTTCTGGCTGATTTGTGCTATAGGCAGAGTGTCTACAGATACGTGGCTGGCATAGACAGGAGATCCCAGAGATGAGCAGTGGGGTGGAGTGAGCTTTTTCCCCGCAGTGACTGTCATCCTGTGCTTTGGGGCTTGTAGAACCTCAGCCCCATAGCACCCTCTGACTCACCATCCTTTCTTGGAAAGTCCCTGGTTATGTTGTACTTTGTCTTTCAGATGTGGGAAGTTGGGCAAGAGTCTGTTGACCTGGCTCTCAAATTAAGGGCTAGACATAGTTGCACAACAAACGTATTGATCTCGCATTCTGTTTTACAAACCAGAACATTCTGTAAAAATGTAGCTTTCATTGTTTCTGATTGGCTTCCATATCACATATTCCAAATAGGAACTAACACACCTAGAGATAACGTATATGTGAGTCATACTGTGTAAATTATGATCAGGCACTTTGAGTCAGTTTTCCCCTGGAAAACCAAGTTCCAGAAAGAGTTCCTACTAGCTTTGATCTGTAATGTGTGAGTGCAAGCAGTTCCCTAAAATGATTCTGTGCTTCCTGGTCCCTCGATGGTGTGTAACTAGTACAGTGATCAGTTGTACCTTTATGATTTAATTTCATTTGATTAATGATTTGATCAATTTCATTTTTTTTAGTTTCTCTACCCTCATGTTCAAAATCACTCTGTTTCTGAGGACCGTCTGTTACTGATTTCAGAAGAGAAATGTAAGTATGGCTTTAGGCAGTCTACAGGGACTTGATGAGGATGTGGTCTGTTAGTGAAGTATGGGACATGACTGAACCTTCTAGATATCCATGTGCAGGTGCAGCAAACCCCCTACCCTTTGCTCTCCACTCAAGGGTTAGGACTCATGTGCTAAAACTTTTTCTTCCTAGCCCTAAATGTTGTTCGCTACGTCTTTGCTCAATTTCCTTATCCCAGGAATATGTATATGTAGATTTTCAGTGAATTCACATGGTAGAAAATGTCCAGAATAGTTGTGTAAATAATTTCCCTTTTAAAAATGTCATTGAAATCTTTGTCAGGGTGGTAAAGAAACTTGAATAGAAAGAGGAAAATGCTAGAAGAATTCTGTGATAGAACTTGACCACATAAACTTGGTCACGTTCAAGGAGAGGCAAAAAAAAAAATTGGGACATAGAAGGTTATGCCTTTTAAAATGCTTTCACATTTCAGGGGGAAAATCCTGCCACACCATTCACTGCTGATCTTACCTAGTAAATGAATTTTCCATGTTAGAAGATGAAATAATATATTTATACTGCAGTTGTCTGTGTTCACTTTATACTCTTGCTTTACTGTCTGCCTCACATTTGTAAGTAGAAGCAGAAGAGGTAAATGTGGCTTAGTCTAAATTACATACTGCAGAAAGGGATCATCTACAAATTGACTTAGTGTTAAGGGTTTTGTTAGTGTGAAACTGGCCCCAGAAAAGTCTCCCTAACTTATCTTGTATAATGAGTTTTCTATATAATTTGTTAATACAAACTGGTATTTGAAAGCATTTGAATGTTTAAAATTAGACTCCACCACAAAGGCCCTTGTTTTGACGAGTGATGGGTTAAGGGAAGCAAACACTTGCTGATAGAGCCCGGAGAAGCAGCAGGGGGAAAAGTTTCCTGTCCTGTTAGAGTTTTCACTTATTTATTTTTTAAAAGCTCCATGTATTATTGATATCAAAGACAAAGCAAATATTAGACTTGAAAAATGGACTTTAAATAGTGGAGTGCAGTTAAAGATAGTTTTTAAAAAGCTTCCATTGTGAGATTCTTCTGTTTATGGTAGTTATTTAATCTACATTTCATTTATAAAAATTTCTTCACAGTAGTTTGATGAAAAAGTACTCTTTTTTTCCCTGATGTTTGAATTCTCTTTCTATTGTGTTTATTTTAAGATATCGAACAATTTCATATTCAAGTCATCCAAGAAGATGGAAATAAAGTGGTAAAGACCTAAAATGTCTTTTGTTGTGCATGTGTTTCCTTAAACCTTTGTTTCTAGACTACTGAAGCTAGATTGTCATTATTGATACATAACATTTTCTTTATTCGGTATCTTTCATATCATATCACTTATCGTAATATGCAAAACAACATAAAGATTTATGAAGAAGCTAATGACTTTCCTCATCTTTATTCCATGTTTCAGTCTCCTAAGGTAGCCAGTGAGAATCTGTAAGTCTTTCTGCACCTTGTAAGGAGGCTGGTGATACAGTGCATAGTATATCAGGCTGCAAAGTCAAAGGCCAGAAGTTTGAATCCACCAGCCATTTCACAGGAGAAAGATAGACACTTATTTTTTAAAGATTTACAGCCTTGGCAGTCTGAGGGAGCCTCACTATGAGTCAAAGTCTTAATGACAGTGAGGTTTGGTTTTGATTCTACACCTTTTATTATGGTCATACAACACACATAAAGTATGGTGTATGAGTGTTGTTGTAGACAAGTCAATATTTAACTCCTAGGGATCCCATGTAACAAAAGAGAACTGCTGCATAGAATTTCTAGGCTCTGATATTTACAGACAGATCAGCCACTGCCACACAGTGTTGTGAAGAGGTTTTTTGGGGGGTTTTAATAATTATTAATTTTCATGAAAATTTACAGAGACTGGATTTCCATTCATTCACTGTTGCACTTTTCTCCCTGCCCACTCCTCCCCCCTAGTTCATGCTTCCCTTTAAAAAGTAAAAGAAAAATTCTTGCTTTGTTATACAATCCCTCCCCCTAAGTCCACTCCACAATGCAGCCTTCATTCTGGACTCCTGTCATGAGAATAATACTAATCAAATATCCCTTTTAAAGAGTTCTCTCTCTCACCTGTTTCAATGCAGTATACATAATTTAAACCATCTTTCTCAGTCTCCCCTCAACCTCGATGTCAGTCCCATTTTACAACAGTGGAACTATGCAGTATTTGTCCTTTTGTGTCTGAGATTTTTCACTCAGTGCTGTGTGTTCTAAATTGAATCAGTAAATCTTTTCAGATGGATTGAAGCATATCTTAAATGCAACAATGGTTTTAAGCATATCTTAAAGAGATTCTGAGGAGGATACAAGATCAAGCAGGATTTTGTCTTTTTTACTCAGAGTTGCTGTGAGTTGGAGCCAACTCAAAGGCACCTAATAACAACACAGTAACATAGGCTTAGGGCATATTGGGGATGGGGTGTGTGTGTGTGGGGGGGGCTAAATAGCCATGAATAAATTATTGGGTCAGTGACTCCATGAGAGAAATATGGAAGGTCTGTTCCTATTCAGTTTACAACCTCTGAGGGTTAGCTATGAGTCAGTTATAAATGGATGACAGTGAATTTGAGGATTGCTTTTAAGGAGCTGGAGAACTTCTGCAGAGGAAGTAAGAAGAGGATGCAGTTCTTTGAGACCAGAAAGCTTTTTTGCCGTAGCATTTTTTTTATGGTACAGGATAGGGCAAGATCTGTATTTTATAGGGTTACTGTGACTTGTAGTTGACTCAATAGTACTTAACAAGCAACAGTAACGACAGTGATGTTCTATTAAGTGAGATGCTTCTGTGATTCTTAAAGGACGATAGCTTTTCCTTGCTGTGAACCAGGCAGAATGACATACTATCTGTGCTAATTAGCAGGTGCTGCTGGAACAGATTTGGGTGACTTTGTTTTCTCACAGTTGTTGTTGTTAGGTGCTGTCAAGTATGACTCAGAGTGACCCTATGAACAACGACGTGAACCCCATCCTATCCTGTGTCATCCTCACTGTCTCTGATACACTTGAACCCGTTGCTGCAGTCACTGTGTCAATCCATCTCATGAGGGGTCCTCCTCTCTTTAACTTACTCTCCATCTTTCAAAGCATAATGTCCCTTTCCAAGCAATAGCCTCTCTTATCAACATAACCAAAGTATGAGAGATGAGACCATCTTTGTCTCCAGGGAGCATTCTGACTGTACTTTCCACAAGACACTGCTGTCTGTTCTTTTGACAATTCACTGGATTCTTCTTCACAATATTCTTCTTCAGTACCACAACTCAAAGGCATCACTTCTCACAGCTATTGTTGATAAGTGCGATCGAGTCAAGAACGATTCATAACAATCCTATGAAAACAGATCTGAACTTGTTCAATGCTGTGCTGTCCTCACAATCTCTGACACACTTGAGTCCATTGCTGCTGTCACTGTGTCAATACATCTGGTTGAGAGTCTTCCTCTGTTTTGTCAACTCTCTAACTCCCCAAGCATGATGTCCTTCTCCAAAGAATATCTTCTCCTAATAACATGCCCAAAGTATGTGAGGTGAAGTTTTATCATCTTTGCCTCCCAGGAGCACTCTGGCTGCATCCCTTCCAGGACATATCTGTTTGTTCTTTTGACAGTGCATAGAGTAATGAGTATGAGTACTTTTCTCCAACACCACAGTTCAAAGATATCAATTCTTCATCTGTCATTCTTATTCACTCTCCAGCTCTTAGCAACATAGCCAGTAATGGAAAAAACCATTGCCTGAATAAGGTGTACCTTGGTCCTTAAACTGACATCATTGCTCCTTAATAATTTGGAGAGGTCGCTGACTGCAGACTTTCCCAGTGCAATACGTCTCCTTATTGCTGATACCAAGTATATTGTTTCTGGATCCAAATAAGATGAATTCACTGACAATTTCAGTCTTTTCTTTATCTATCATGATGCTGCTTGTAGGTCCAGTGGTGAGAATTTTTGTTTTCTTGACATTGAAATGTAATCTATATTGATGGTTGTATTCTTTGATCTTCTGCAACAAGCACTTCAAGTCCTTCTCACTTTCAGCAAGCAGGGTTGTGTCATCTGTGTAACTGCAGGTTATTAATCACAGTAAGGACGTGAGAGGCCTGCCTTCAGGCTAGAAGGGAAGGCTGTCTGTTTCTGCTGTAGATAAAAACCCTTGTTTTATTATTTTTTTGTTTGTTCTATTTTACATTTATTTAATATTATCCATGTAAAGGTTGGTGAACTTCAAAAAGAGTAACTACAGTCTTATCGCTAATTCTTCTACAAACCAGAACACTACACCAAGAACATGCTTATTGGTATAGCTACCATTCTTATTTTCTTTTTTCTTTCTTCTTTTTCTTTAAATTTTATTTTATTAATTTTAATGAACATTTACAGAGATTTTGGATTTCCATTCATTCGTTGTTGCACTTTTCTCCCTGCTCAGCCCTCCCCCTCAGTTCACTCCTCTCTTTGAAAAGTGAAAGAAAAATTCTTTCATTGATATACAATCCCCCTGCACCACCCACCACCCCGAGTACACTCCACTATGTAACCTTACTTCTGGACTCTTGTAAAAAAAAATCATTGTTGTAGCTTCTCCTGGCATTCTTCTCAGCAGTTCTTCAACCTTTTCAGGTGGCGTCTATCTTTTCTTGATTCTCTAGCTAATCTTCTCTTGTTATGTCCTAAAGTTATCAGTTTAAAACACCCTCTACACAGGTATGAGCTTCTTAGTATAACAAAGAAAGTCTTCTTTTCCACACAGTATAGGTGTTTGAATTATAGCACGTATTTCTGAGGACACAAATCAGTCAGGAATTTAATGTACTAGAAAATTTGTATTCTATATCCGGGCTCACCTAACTGTAGGTTAATGCACTTTCTTTGAGTCTTGGCTTTCTTGCCAAAAATTAAAAATAAAATTATTGGTTAAATGGTTTCTGCCATCTCTTCTGATTCCAAATATCAGTATCTTACATTTGTCTTGTCCTTAGCAATTGACTTGTACCTGTCTTAATTACTAGAAACAGAACCAGACATCAGGAGCTCCATGGTACATAATTATTGAGAAAAACTTGAAGCAGGCATCAGAGTGTAACTGTAATAGAGACATGCCAGCGGGCCAGGGGAACACAGAGAACCTTACAGTCTTCCTTTAGAGGTGAAAGACGCCTTTGTACAGCAGGAATGACTAAGCCTGGTCTTGCAAGATTAATGGTTAAGTAATGCTGAGAGATGGGCAATATCATCATACCCATTGTGGAAGACATAAAGCTGAGAAGCATGCCCAAAACCACATGGGTAGCTTATGGCACTACTGGGGTCATTATCTACTACTATCCCTTCCAGACTTGGCATCACAACCTCTACTACGGTAGTTAGGGCCTCTAGCTTGCAGAGACCTGACTGAATGGGTTATGTCAAGAATAGGAAGCTGTTTTAGCCAAGCCATTGATTTGTGGTGAATGTGGCCTTGCCTTCAGCAGCCCAAGCCTATCTATTAAATTAAGTACAAGAGTTAAATAGTACAGTATAGAAGAAGAGTGAATAATGTTGCCATAATTTTGTTTCCTGCAAGGACTCCCAATATATGTGAATTGTGTGTATGTGTGTGCTTGGGTTAGAGAAAGACTGGTAAAAAAATCCACTGTGGAGATTTGTACATGTTGTATATAGACTGAAAATAAAAAAGAGTGAATTGCAAATATGCTCTGTGCTCAGTTATATAGTAAAATCTTTTTGTCTCTTTAGGTGATTAAAAATTCTGGCAATCTACCAAAAGACAGAGTTGCTGAGGATTTCGTCTGGGCTCAGTGGGATAGGATAGAGCAGAGACTGTTCTACGTTGACCTGAAGGTAAAACCTAGTCCTCTGGTCCACCTTTTTAGAGACACAATTTAAGATTTGACATTCCCACAACTCTTATTTCTGTATTTACGTTGGTGGAAGGCAGTCAGTTAAATAACGAAAAGGCTCTTCAGTGCTCTGCTTTCTTCTTTTGGCCTCTCTTTTTCTAACTAGACTTTTTGTTGATTTGGGGGAAGATCTCATTTAAATTATTTCCTCTTGTAGAAGTCAAGAAGTATCTTAAAATGCATCCAGTTTGGTGCTGATGAGAACTTTAATCTGATGGTAAGTCCAGAGAATGATCGGCCTAGAGGAAATTTTATAACCTTTTAAAAGAACATTTTAGAATTGTTGATGTTGCTGTCACTTGTATATGCAAATAAAATAGTTCTTGGCATCTCAGGGCTTCAACCCTAAAGTAAATGCAATTAATATCAGTTACTAGAAGCATATACGCAGAATACGTATTCACTGGCTGAGTGTCTGGCATGAAAGAAGCAAGTTTAAGAATGGGATAAGTAGAGAGCAGTAGATGTGAACTATAAGCAGATAGCTTCAAATTGTCATACATTGATTGATAAAAAAAAGGCTTATGAAGACGTTGGATTTAAGAATAAGAAGACAATCAAAGAGTATTGTTTAAATAGTGTAGCAGCACTCCCGAGACAATTTGTAACACAAAATGATGAACTTGTAATACAGAATCACTAATACTTTTTTCTATGATGAATTATACATACTTGTTTTCTTGATAAAGACTAAGTATTGAGCTCACAGTTTAGATTGATATTGTGTAACCACAAGATGATTTACATTTCTTTTCTCCTCCTTGCTTTTTCGCTAATACACAAGGAGCTCCGTACCCCTTTCTACAGACCCCTCTCATCTCTTTCCTTGAACTATCAACTGTGTCTTGTAAAAAGGACCACTTCCAACTGGCGACTTCGTACAATGCGTGTATAGTATTCAAACTTGAGGCAAAGTTTGCCAAGTATTAGCCTTTTAAGAAATAAATATACAGGGGAGCTCTGGTGGGCTAGTGGCAAGGAGCTGCAACTACAATCCCAGAGGCGAACGGTTCGAATCCACCAGATGCTCTGCCGGGGAAAGAGGGACAATCTCCTCCTGTACCAGTCAGATCTGATTTGACGGTACACGCACACAAAAATAATAATAATAAAAAAACAAATAAATATACAGCTGTTTTGTGGTTGCATGTAAAGTCTGAAATATCCCCAGTGGATACTTTCTGTGCTGAAGAGAATGTATTATTTGTCATTTGGCAAGCTTAACATTGTCAGGTTTGCTCTGGTATTCAGACAAGACTGTCCTCACTTAATTAACATCATTTTTTGGTTTGTTTTCTCCTGATTTTTGACAGTTTGAAGCACCCTTGGACATATCATTAAATGACTCAGGATTTAAGTAAGTGACTCAAAGAATAAGATTAAATTTTATAGGCACTCATGTGGCAAAATAATTACATTTATACCTAATCTATGGTGTTCATATAAAAGGATGATTTGAAATCCTCTTTGTATAAATCTCCTTTTTATGTTCTTCTATCCATAGGGAGTATAAACAGCTATCAAGTATGAACGCAGGCTTTTAAATGTAAAATCAATTGTATTGATTTTTCTTAGCCATTTATTTCTGTTCAGCATCTCCATTTGTTTTGATCTGTGGAACTGCTCTTCTCCCTATGATTAAATGAAAAAAGGTTTGATGAGTCAGAGAACTGCACTCAGAACTAAACATCAAAGCCCTTTCCTTGATGCTATCAAAGAGGATGTCACAGGTCAACCCTCTTGTATCTGTACTGTTTGTGTTGCCTACTTTTTTTCCATTTTCCTTTTTACAGAAAAGGTGAAGTTTCTTCTTCCCCTCCACTCTCAGAATACTTTACATACAGTGAAAGCACAAAACACTTTTGAAAAAGTAAACTCTTAAGTCATTAGAACAAAGACGACATGAATGTTAATGCACAGAAGAAATTAACTGAAGTAATAATAATAATAATAATAATTTAATTATACTCCTAAATCTCACTGAATGATAACCCTAAATTTCATGTAAATTCACTAAATGATAATCTTAAATTTCACATAATGATAATGCTGAATTTTACAAGCTCCATTTCATTATACGTAAATATTTAGTTGTTTTTCTTTTGAAATATTGTATGCGTTTTTCTAAATCAGAAAAAGTTTAAGAAACAATTTGTGAATGGTATTTTTTTCTATTGCATTTGTATGCTATTTACCTACCATATATTTTTAAAAATTAACTCTTTAATTATTTTATAGAATTTCTTAACAGAAGAAAGAAGCATTTTTAATTTGCTAAATTACTGAAGGGTGCATCTCTATTACTGTGTCTGGATTCTTTGCCAATAACACAGCATATAGATACATTAGTAGAGATAGATCTCCTCTAAGAAATTTAGGAAGATAAAAATGCATCTGTTTTTCTGTTAAGAAATTCTGTGAAGTCAATCTAAAGAGGATAAAATTGATGCATGGGACCTTCTGAAGATTAAATCTCTGTGCACATCAAAAACTTTTTCCAGCGGGGTGAAAAGAAAACCTGCAGACTGGGAACAAACATTTGGTAATTCCATCTCAGACAAGAGTCTTATAACAAAAGTTTACAGAATACTCCTAGGCATCCACAAGAAAAAGACTTATAACTCAATTACAAAATGGGCAAAAGACATGGAAAGAATTTTCACAGAGGAAGATATTTGAATGGCAGACACATGAAGAAATGTTCCAAATCACTGACAATAAGAGAGATGCAAATCAAAACCTCAGTGAGGTACCATCTCACTCCAGTAAGAGTGGCAAAGTTTAACAGAGCAGCAAGTAATAGATGCTGGAGAGGATGTGGCGAGAAAGGAACTCTTATACATTGTTGGTGGGATTGTAAAATGGTGCAATCATTCTGGAAGGCAGTTTGGCGCTTCCTCAAAAAGCTAAACATAGACATTCCATATGATCCAGCTAGTCCACTACTTGGAATATACCCGGAGAATATGAGAACACATATGAATATGAGAATATGAGGCACAAACAGAGATTTGTACACCAGTGTTCATAGCAGCATTATTAACCATCGCAAGAACATGAAAACAACCCAAATGTCCAACAACAAATGAATGGATTGAGAAATTATGGTATATTCACACAATGGAATGCTATGCAGCATGCAGGAGCAATAACTTTGTAAATAATTACCTAACTTGGGAGGGACTGGAGAGCATTAAGCTGAGTAAACTAACTCAGGCACATAAAGATAAATATTGTATAAAACTGTTATTGTAGAATGAGTATAAGGATCCAGGAGGAGGGGGAGAGGCTGGAAGCAGAGGGATGTGGATGTGCAGGGGGAGGGGAGGGATTAATCATTGGGTTGTACAATTTGATGGGGGGTGGGGAGTTGAGGGAAATGGAAAGAATTTGTTCAAATTTGTATTTAAATTTTGTAAATAAACTAGTAGAAAAATTAAAAAGAAATTCTGTGGAGCAGCCAAGCAATTTATTTTATGACATTATGATATTGGCAAACAGTATTTACTGCCGCCAGAAGAATAAACAAATCTATCTTGAAGAAACTGCACCCTGGATGCTCCTTAGAGGCACGGATGATAAAGCTTTATCTTATGTACTTTGAACATGTTGTCAGTAGAGGACAGTCCCAGGAAAAAGGCATCATGCTGGGGAAGGTAGAGGACTAGAGGCAGAGAGGAGGACCTTCAACAAGATGGATTGACAGTGAGGGCACTTGGAGTATGGCGGTGATTGTGAGGGTGGTACAGGATAGGGCAGGGTTCCAATCTGTTCATAGGGTCGCTGTGGGTCTCAGTTGACTTGATGGCACATAACAACAACAACAACAACAATGTGTTTATGTTATAGTGAGTACTTACATCTTTTGTTAGGGAATATGTTTTAAAATACATTCAAAAGTTTTCGTGTTTTGTGTTCGTAGGCTTGTCAACTTTGGATGTGACTATCTTCAAGATCAAGAGGAATTATCTAAACACCCAACTCTATGTGTTTATACCAACAGCACAGGTAGAATAATAGTTCAGTACACACTCAGCTGTCTTTAAGGTCTATGTAAATGTTGTTGTTGTTGATTGCCTTCAAGTCAAGCATGACTCATAGCGACCCTGTGAACAAAAGGCTTAAAGCCCCTCTACAACTATTAACATTTACCAAAGTTCATAGAGTTTCCGGAGGCATGTTATTTAGGAAATGGATGCCACTCCTGCTTCCAAATGTTAGCCATATTTTATCTAAATGGATCTTGAATACGAAATACAGGAGAGCTATCTTCTTATATACATTATCTCATGAACTTTCATGTGCTGAATTATCATCTCCACGATAATTTTATACATGTGCTTTCTTTATTAAAAAGTCACAGCCAGCAGGCTCATTGTTCTAATAGATATTATTTGTATTCATTCTCCAAAAGAGGACATAGAGTTGTATTTAGGCAAAGTACTTTTTTTTTAAACTAAACTCTGTCTTTTAATAAATGGTATCTAATTATGAGGTTATTTCCTGAGTTAGATTCAAGGGCATACTTTGACTCTAAACTCACATACTTGGCCTCAAGAGTCATGGTAAAATCTACTAATCTAACAACCAAAGCTTGACCTGAAGTTTGTAGTGGACAATATTCTGCCCCTTAATAGTGGTTCAGAGAATTTATTTATTAATGAATTTAGGTGAAAAACTGGTCTATTAGCCCTGGTAATTGTCTGAATAAGCTACTCTAATCAATAAATCTCATAGTCCTCTTTAACAGTCCAGTCTAGAGGATTTTTATTACTTGAGTATTAGCACGTGAACGTAAATTGTATTTCTTTAAAATAAAATTATGTGATATTCACCCATACAGCAAGTGTTTATTAAGCACCTACTTAGTGATGGGTATTGAGATTAACACCATTTCCAAGGGAGAAAGATGAGCAGTCTTCTCCTGTGTGATTTACAGCCTCTGAAAACTCACTGGAGGTTCAGCTGTGATTTGATTCTGACTCAACGGCAATGAATTTTGAATTTTGTAGACCATGGAAGGATTTCAGATTTTATTCTAAGAAGAGGTTTATTATTACCATACTATGATGACACTTTATTTTGTTTTGGTAGTTTATTGTGTTTTTATTGTATTAAAATACTTAATCTGCAATTAAAGAAGTTTGTTTTACATCCAACAATATCTACACAAATTATTCAGTGACATGAGTAACATTATTTACAGTGTATGAACATTCTCAATATTTCTGTTCACAGTGTTCTGTTTCCATTAATCTAATTTTCCTTTTCCCTTACTTTCTTCTTATTGTTTTAAAGTAACCAATTGGTCTCATATAGATACTTTTTTTTGAAAGGAATTCACCACTCATAGATCATATTCTTTATTTTATGAATCAGTTCGCTATTTAGCTAAAAGGTGACCTCAGGGATTTATTTGATTCAAAGTGTAAAGAGTATCCAGGATGGTCTTCTCAGGGAATCCTATACTCTCGACTGATTCAGTAAGTCTGGGTTTTCTAGAGGAAAAATTTGAAATTTGGGTCACATATTAGTCCTATTCCATCTATATCTGTTTTTGTGGCCCTGGTCTGAATGGTTGATAGTTCTATCTCAGCACCATCTAGTTCTTCTCATGTCAGGGTAGGTGAGGCTGTGGGTCATGTGGACTATTAGTTCTGTAGACTTGTTTTATTTCTTTGAATTTGTCTTCTTCCTCTTTTCTTCTGGATGACTACAAACCAACAGTTGTAACTTAGATGGTCACTCACAAGTTTTTAAGACCCTAGATGCTACTAACTAAATGAGAATGTGGAACATGAACTTTATGAATGCTATCATGCCAATTATTTGCTCAACATACTGATAGAATAGGTATAAAGAAAGGAGACAGCCCTGATACAGATCCTTCCTGATTTTAGATGTGCAGTGTTCCCTTGCTCCATTTGGATAACAGCTTCTTGGTCTATGTATAGATTTCGTATGAACACAATTAAGTGTTCCGGGATTCCCCTTCTTCTCAACATTAGCCATAGTTTATTGTGATCCACACAGCCAGTTGCCTTTGCATAGTCAATAAAACACATACAGACATTCAACTGGTATTCTCTACATTTAGTCAGGATCCACCTAACATCAGCAGTGATGTTACAGCTTCTTCTAAACCCAGTCTGAACTTCTGGAAGCTCTCTGTCAGTGTACTGTTCGAGCCATTTTTGGACGATCTTCAGTAATATTTTGCTTGCATGTGATAATAATGACATTTCTTGATTATTTCTATATTCTGTTGAATTTCCTTTCTTGAGAATGGGAACAAACAAGGATGGATCTCTTCTAGTCATTTGGCCAGGCAACTGTCCTCCAAATTTCCTGGCATAGACTGTTGAGCACATTCAGAGTTGTATCTATTAGTTGAAACATGTTAGTCTATGACATGTATTCCTGAGCCTTACATTTTGCCTTTCAGTGCAATTTGGACTTCTTCCTTTGTTACCATTGGCTCTTGTTCATATGGCACTTGCTAAAATTTTCCAGTATCAACCAATTCTTTTTGGAAGGGTGTGCATCAAGGTTGTATCTTTTCTCCATACCTATTCATTCTTTAAGCTGGGCAAATAATACATGAAGATGGACTTTATGAAGAAGAATGTGACATCAAGATTGGAAAAAGGACTCATCACCAACTTGCATTATGCATATGATGCAATCTTGCTTGCTGAAAATGAGGACTTTAAATGCTTGCTACAGAAAATAAGACTACAGCCTTCAGTATGCACTGCATGTTAAAATCAAGAAAACAAAGTCCTTACCTTTGGGCCAACAGGCAGCATCATGAGAGATGGAGAGAGGATTGGAACTGTCAATGATTTCATCTTACTTGGATCCACAATTAGACTTCACTGTTGAAGTCATTGTGTCAGTCCATCTCATTGAGAATCTCCTTTTTTTGCCCCCCACTCACCTTCTACTTTACCAAGTATGATGCTTTGCTCTAGGGACTGGCTCTTCTGATAATATATCCAAAGTATGTGAGACAAAATTATGCTATCCTTGCCTCTAAGAATCATTCTAGTTTTACTTCCTCCACACAGCTTTGTTCATTCTTCTGGCAGTTCATGAGATAGCAATATTCTTCAGTAATACTGTATTTCAAATGTCTCGGTTCTTCTCTGCCTTTCCTTATCCACTGACCAGCTTTCATATGCATATGAGGCAATTGAAAATGCCTTAGGTCAGGTGTACCTCAGTCCTCAAAGTGACAGCTTTGCTTCTGAGCCCTTTGAAGACGGCTTTGGCAACAGATTTTTCCAATACAGTCAGTACAGTTTTATTTAATTATTGCTTCCATGAGTGTTGTTTGTGATTTCAAGTGAAATGAAATCTTTGACAACTTCACTCCATACCACTTACCATGATGTGGTTTATTGATCTGGTTGTGAAGATTTTTGTCGTCTTAATGTTGAGGTAATCCTTACTAAGACAACAGTCTTTGCTCTTCTTCAGTAACTGCTTTAAGTCCGCTTCACTTTCAGCAAGCAAGATTGTATCATCTTAATGTTGTTAGAGTCTTCCTCCAAAGCTGATGCTGTAAAACCCAGCTTCTTAGGTTATTTGTTCAGCAAACAGATTGAATAGGTATGGTGAGAGGATAAAACTTCATACACGTGTTTCCTAATTTTAAACCCTGCAGATTCCTTTTGTTCTGTTCAAATGCCTACCTCTTCTTCTACGTACAGAGTCCATGTTAGGACAATGAAGGTTTCTGGAAATTTTTTCCCTACAATATTTTACATAACTTGTTATTATTCACACAGTTCTCCGCTTACATACATGCATCTATACTTGAAAATACATTTTTGTTTATATTTCTTTTGTTTTAAAATTACATATACTACAGCAATCACTAAGAGATTACTTTTCAAGAATACTTTTCTTTCTCTTCATCAAGCTGTGTATGTGACATCCTTATGTGTATGGTTTTTCCTATTGCCCCAAATAACTGTTGATTATTTAGAAAGTAAAACTCCTTCTCCCCCTCCTAATCCCTGATAACCTGTATTGAACATTAATTTCCGTATGTTTATTTGTTCATGTCACATCATAAAAGTGAGAACATAAAATACTTGGCTTTTTTGTGGTTGGCTATTTCGACATAATGTTGTCTCTTTACAGTCATGTTGTATGGTGTTTTGGATGCTCCCATTTTGCTTTATTGTTGGTTTTCAAAAGGAGAGCAGTGCTGTCAAGAGAAAATGAGAGGAGAATTCCAGCATGGAGATTACTGTAAGCTGAGTGTGTTAGGTGACTAAAATAACGTCTGGCTTTTTCTGGGTAAAATGGGATAGAAGAGTTGAAGAAGTTGGAAAATCATGTGTAAATATGACTTGGCATTTAAGAAATACTGCTTTTTAAGATTATGGAGACTCTAGTGTGCTTGAATGCTTGGAGGATGAAGCTAGTGGAGAGAGACAGATAACAGGGTAGTGAATTAGCTTAGAAATATGGGATGGAATGGAATCAAGAGGGTGTATGGAAGGACTAGGGTTGAACACACCATAGACTGACAAAAGCACAAATTTGTCTTGGAAGAAGTGCAGTGAGAAGGCGCTTGGTAACATAACATATTTTGGGCATATTATCAAGAGGGGTACACTGACTCTTGGTAACCTTGGAAGGAGACTTCATGCTTGAAAATATGGAAGGTTGGTGAAGAAAAAGAAGACCCTTAAGAAAATAGATTGACAGAGTGACTGCATCCAGGGACTTGAGCATGGCAGAAATCCTGAGAATGGTGCAGGATCAGGAAGGTTTTGATCTGTTGTTCATGGGGGCATTATTAGTCAGAGCTGATGTGAAGGTGTCTAACAATTTATAATCTTTCATCGTAGGATCATAAAAGGAAGGGACCAAGGAGTCTGTGATTTCCCATATAACTTGCTTCATTCTCCAGTGACTTGGAGCCTAGAACACATGTGTAACAAAGTTCATGAAAGAAATCTTGGTAGTGTGGTCTTCCAAATTCAGCTTAT